GTGGAATGAACCAGCAGGGATTTAGTTAGGTCTTTCCCTGGGCCTCCCATAGCCAGCGCATGACACACACCAAAAATACATCACCCAATACCTCCAGCGTTTGTTCATAGATAGCTATCATTTTCCATCAATGGAACAGTTCAGCATGCAACGCTATTATCTAATTTTCCAACAGAGTTATAAAAGGGTTTGTCCTTATAAATATTTCTGCATGTTTGTGCTGAATTATTTATTGTAAAATATGTTTATTAATAATTTTAATTAAAGCTGCACTCAAACTGGCTGATACCGCAGTTGTCTTGGACTTTTACTGTGGGTGTAGTATTTGCCCAAAAATGTATCCATGTACCAATGACATTGCAGAAATGCACTACTGGCAGTCAGTATTCTTGATTAATTTATTTTATGAGATAAAGCGCACAATAATAGGAGCCTTATTAAGACAAAATTAGAAGTATTCAGCTGGTCATGTGATCTTAAAATGGCCACCCCCTGAGGCGACCTACTCCATGTAAAATAAAACCGCTTTTTTAGACTATGTAAAAGGCACATCTTTGTATCTACAGAAAAATACTACCATTTGTTGCTTTAGGTGTACAATTGTATTAATGAGGAACAAATCTTGAGCACACGGAAGAGCTACTATATAAAGGAACAAGTCATTGTGTGAACTGTCACCATTGTGCCCTTGAGCGAATCACTTAAGTCCAGAAACTTTCTTGTAAGTGTACTGTAAGATGCTTTAGATAAAAGCATATGTGAAATGACTAATAATACCAACAGTAAAGAAGCAGCCAGAGAAAGTAGGGTGTGCCAACTTCTTGCTCAAAAATGCAGTTCTTGTCTGGAATGAGGGGTTTTTTTCTGCTGAGGAGAATGCTGTGTAAGGTAAGATATTTCGGTCTTTGATGGGAAGAGACAATAGGAGCACACATTCTATACATTCCCACCCTGTAAAGCTTGCTTGACAAGTTCTCACGTTTCACCTTAACCCAGTCATTGAATAAACATATATGGTATCTTAACATTTCGTAAAGCTATAATTCCTGCCTTCTAATGATCTGTGCTTCATGTAAAATAAGTGAAGCCTGGTGCTTTAGGCCTGGACAATAACAAAGTGCTGCATTTGGGGAAAATATTACCATCAAAAGACAGTGATATTACTGTGGAGGAGGGCATGTTGATAACACACTGATCAGAGATAAGACACAGGAACAATACCACAATCCTCCGGGACAAACGTCCACTCATTTGTTTACACCCTCAACATATAATTCAGTTTTGTTTTGTGTTGTACAACTTATATGCGTAGGAAGAGCCTTCCGGTATTTTCATTATTTTGCTGGGTGGTCTTAATATAATAGAATACATTATATTAACATTAATATTACAACATAAACAAACACAAAATACAAGCAACCTTTCATAAACATAATTTTCTATTACGCATGATATTCTGGTATTTATTCTAAAAAAAAAAAGTCATTTACATGCTCCACATCTTTTCAAAAAATTAATGTACACGTGTAATAATCATATTTTGAATGAACATGCATGTTTGTCTGGAATGAGGGGTTTTTTTCTGCTGAGGAGAATGCTGTGTAAGGTAAGATATTTCGGTCTTTGATGGGAAGAGACAATAGGAGCACACATTCTATACATTCCCACCCTGTAAAGCTTGCTTGACAAGTTCTCACGTTTCACCTTAACCCAGTCATTGAATAAACATATATGGTATCTTAACATTTCGTAAAGCTATAATTCCTGCCTTTTAATGATCTGTGCTTCATGTAAAATAAGTGAAGCCTGGTGCTTTAGGCCTGGACAATAACAAAGTGCTGCATTTGGGGAAAATATTACCATCAAAAGACAGTGATATTACTGTGGAGGAGGGCATGTTGATAACACACTGATCAGAGATAAGACACAGGAACAATACCACAATCCTCTGGGACAAACGTCCACTCATTTGTTTACACCCTCAACATATAATTCAGTTTTGTTTTGTGTTGTACAACTTATATGCGTAGGAAGAGCCTTCCGGTATTTTCATTATTTTGCTGGGTGGTCTTAATATAATAGAATACATTATATTAACATTAATATTACAACATAAACAAACACAAAATACAAGCAACCTTTCATAAACATAATTTTCTATTACGCATGATATTCTGGTATTTATTCTAAAAAAAAAGTCATTTACATGCTCCACATCTTTTCAAAAAATTAATGTACACGTGTAATATTCATATTTTGAATGAACATGCATGTTTTTTCCCCTTGGATTGTTACTGGAGATGCAAGCTCTTGCTATTACTGTACACTTTAGTCATTTTTAAACAGTAATTTAATCAACTCATTCATTTTGACAAAATAAATGTCAGGACTGAGTCACGAGACAAATGTTGGTCAATATGTGTCTAATAATGTTACATTTTAGAAGAAAAAAAAACTAAGATTCCTTGAGATTTTAATGAATATTGAGTTCATGATCCAAACTTCTGACTAAACAAAACCTCCCAGACATGTATTTTAGTTAGAAGGTCTACTACAAGACAACAAACACGTTTCCTTTTGTATAGCATCCCATTACCCCATAACCTTACCAGCAAACTCTCCAAATTCAGCAGTGATCGTTGGTCCTTGATGAGTGACTCCAGTATTCTCACCCGCTTTTCTACTCTCTTTCCTGCTCCGGTCGACATTGCGGCAGCTCGGTATTGTGAAGGTCCCGGTAGACATCAGATTGAGAGCCGCGATTGTGAGACTTCAAACGACTGAATCAAACTTGTCACTACCTGTCGTAACTCAACGCGACGCCTCTTGAAGCTCACCGGTTCTGGATGAATTAATTCTTTAGCCAAAGACTTTATACACGGCATAAATGAACGGAATACAGTAGTTTTGTGTCTTGTTCTCCTGTGTAAATGACAGCGGCGTTCAGCGCGCTTGTGCCAGCAGCATAAAATCAAAGGTTAGACCCACGCGTTCAGGAAGCCGAGTGTCTCTCCCGCTCCGGTTCAACAAAAATTACGGGGAAAACCGTCCGTGTACGATCTATGTTGAAAAACACACTGTCGTTCTTCCTCACTGTTATTTTTTGGGTACATGAAGCAGAGGGGAGTATGAGTACATGTATGTGAATGTGAACGACGTGTTTCTTTGTTGCAGTGTGTCCCTCCCCTGCGACCTGCGACCACTGGAATTCTTCGGATCTTATCTCAGCCATCGCTTTTACCAGCCAAACGTCACTCTCTAAATACGATCCCATATACTAGCCTACACTAGATATATTTAGACGATTACATGTATTTATGATGGCACGAAAAAGCGTATTATAGACGACTTCTTTAATGTTTGTTTCGTAAATGTACTGTGGTGTAATTCAGCACTGAAATTCTGTGTTCTGATGATTACAATTATGACAAACATCTCTGCAGTGAGCACCGTGACTGATAGATTAATAGCAGGCTATTGTAATAATTTTGATGTAAAAACTTTTTTCTCTGTGTTAACTATTAAGGGGCAACATAACATTCGCCCTATTTCGTTTTTAGAGGCATATATAACAATATAATATAAAAAAAGCATGTCATGTACCAGCCCATGACACCTTTGCACCTTGAGTGCACACACACAGGTTTGTTTTCACACACACACACACACACACACACATATATATGCAGCAATAAATTAATACATTTTTCTTAAAATCTTCAGTGTTTTGTCCATTTTTGTGTATGACATCAAAACCCATGTGGGGCCCACATTGACGTGTTGGCTAATATTTCATTAACTTGTTACTCTGTATTACTTGATGCTCTCTATGAGGACTGGACACAGACATTAAATAGTGTTGTGTCAATGGAAAACAGCTGACACGGGTTGTAATTTATGAGACCGTCTGACTCTGCAAAAGATCATAGACTAGACACATGACCTCTCTTATCATCTTTTGATTATAGGCTACTGATAAAAGAAAACACACAGCACAGATTGAAGACACTCAGGGACAGAAATTTAACATTCCTTTTTTTGTCATGCAGGCAACTTAAATATGCTGAATATGACTGAGTAGATAGTCGTCAGACAACGCCCACCTCTTGCACAGTTTTATGTTAGGAATGAGGAAGCAGTTTGTTATGTCTCAGAAAAGTGTCCCCAGGGTTTAGCTTGTTTAATTAATTTCTATGGACTAAACTAGAGAGAACTGCCATAATCCAGCATTAAATGACCTTAAAAACAGCTACATTATTTTTACTGCTCCTACAATGATCTGCACAAGTATTTTATTTGGGTAGTTAATAGTTTGTGGCATATTGAGACATATCCAACTCAAATAATGAATAATGATAATAATAATTATTTAAAAAATCTTTTACTTTGTGGCCCTATGTGATGTAGAGTTAAAATCCAGCGCGTGTGTAGTTTTTAAATGAATAAATAAATTGCCAGTTGGGAACGCTTAACACTGACCTCTGGTGGACTTATTGAATTAGTTCATTTTTAAGCAGATATGAAAACGCTTCTGGACAATGTCTTGTTAAAAATATTTTAAGATAGGGGATCATATAATTCTGGGACACATTTTACAGCTTATGCTGGCCCACGTCAACAAAATAAAAAGCTCGTCAAACCTTGCTTTCTCTCTATCCTGTCAGTTGTGTTGTGGGCGGGTTGCCATGACACCGTTCAACAAGCGGATAGAGATGGAGGCTACAGTCTGGTGCTGCAGTCACTATTAAAGTGAGTAAAATCAATGAGCTAAGAGAGTATTATGTTTAACTGACGCATCGAAGTATATATGATTACAGAAGAACGGAAAATAAAAAATAGTTCACTTGATATTGCGCGCGATACTCAAAACATTAGTTCTTATAAAATTTTAATGTCAGTTGATAATTACCGATGATCTGATATTGAACTTTAAAGTTTTGACTTCTTGATTAATTGAAATAGATTAACATCTCTGTATTTTTGCTTTACAGTATCATACAATGTCATCCACTGTCCCTAAAGCGTCTAATTTATCATTAGTGGATAAACTTATCGAGGATGAAGCAGAGAGAGAGATTCTGCTCTCCAAACCTACATGTTTTATCATCCTTGGAAAACCAGTGAGTTGTCAACATACATCTTTTTTTTTTTTCTCTCAAACATAAAAGTAGGGCTAAATTCAGGTTGATTGGGACACCTTTACCCAGGCATTTCAATGGCTAAATGTGTCCCAATCAACCTGAATTCACCTCAATATTCTTCAGTCAAAACAAATTAAAAAAAAAATTTGTTTATATGTTTTGTGTGATTTTTTTTTCAGGGTGTTGGGAAATCTACTCTTGCCAGAAAATTAGCCAAGACTTGGAACTGCATCCTCATTGATGGTAAATGATCAAGTGCCTTTGATGTCACATTGTCATTATTACATATGGAGTTTCTGAATATTTAATTTTCACCCTATTTAGATACAGATCTTCTCAACAGCCACATCAGTGATGAGACAGAACAAGGTATACAGGTGTGTATCACTGATGTTTAGTTATTTACATGGTCACAATAGAAATAACTGATTCCCTGCAAAATATTCTAGCTGTTTCATATAAGATATTCTGCTATAGCTCTTTAAGATTCTGGCTGATGGAAAAGCTGTTCCAGAAGAGATGATGGTCAAGTTAATTGTTAACCGGCTCAAGTCACCTGATGTAGAGCATTATGGTAAAGGTGTATGACACAACTGAAATAACATAACTGAATAAAAATGACTAGTTAACCAAATAAACAAACATGTAAACCTTTCATTCTTGATATATATATATATATATATATATATATATATATATATTTGTAATGACTTGTCTGAATGAGCAGGTTATGTTCTGGCCTGTTTGCCATCAATGTCAGAGGAATACCTGAAGATACAGGAACAAATAGACTTGATTAAAAGCCTCAGAATGCCACCAGACTTCATCATCAACATCAAGGTTTTTCATAACCTTAATACTACCTATACTCCACAGAATTTTACGATGCTGACATTGTGTTATCCACTTCACACTTTGTAAGGATAATAAATAAGTGTGTTTATGTGTGCAGTGTGCAGACAGGGACCTGATCCGCAGGCTATCAGATGAGCGTCAACATCCAGAGACAGGCCGTGTGTTCCAGAGGGAGAAGTGGGACCCTGATGTGAAGAAAGAGTCACTCATGAAAAGCAACAACACAGAGAATGAGGAGGAGGAAGAGGAAGAAACAGAAGATCTAGAGGAAGAGGTAATACAACCAGCTTCCAGGTTTCTTAACCAGAAAATAAGTCATAGAAAATAATTATTCTGATAATTCTGCTTGTTTTCAAAATGTTTAACAACAAAAACTGTTAGATATATTAACTTTACCAACCACAGTTAATGTTGTGATTCCATTCCATGCTCTGCAATTCATTAATATTAAATATAAAAATAAAAGAAATATCATCACTGCAGTTTTATTGTTTAGTTTTTTACTAATGTCAAGTTATCATGTGGTCCCATTTGAAGTTTGAGAATGCCCCCAAGTGTGTCCTGGGCCCCTAAATGAGAACCAATGTATTACTGCAATGATTTATTTGCCAGACACTGTACCAAACCACTGTATAAACTATTTACAGTAAGTTTGCAACAAAAGTTAAGTTTCATAAATGATTTCAGAACTGCCAAATATTGAAGTTCTGTGCACAAATGACTAAATGCAATTGAAAATCTGTTTAAGATGGAAGAGTTAGAGCTTCAGAAAGACATGATCACACAGCTTGTAAGAGTGAGTGAAAATTACCCAGAGAACACCAACAGCAGGATCATGTGCTATAAGGACACCATCCTCAGGCCTCTAGAGGTAATGGCATCTATAGTATTGCACACTTACAAACTGTATACACTATTATAGAAACAATCAGCATTACGCTTATGTTGGATGTGTAGGATTACATGGCAGACCACAATCCTCCATTTTTGTTTGAGCTGGATGGAAACAAGGATCCAGAGGATCTCTTTGAGGTGGGTGAACTCAGTCAAGCTGTAATGACTAAGGATGGAAACTATAACATTTCAGTAACTGTTCTAATTCCATGAGAATAGTTTAGTCCATATCACAACTATAATGATAAAGGCATAGGGGAACTATATTGTTGGCATGAAAAATCTGAAAAGTTGTTGCAAACCTCCCACTTTTTCATGGTTAGAAGATTTGTTGTCTTTTCTATATATTGAAAAAAATAAGTTTCTTTTAAGAGGTTCCACTGACAAATTTTATAAAAACTGGGGTCCTCTACTTGACTTTGTCAAAAATACACCACTTATATTTACTGATTTGTAATATGTATTTTTAATTGTTTAATTGTTAATTTAATTTTAATTGTTCTGTGTAGTCTCTTGTTCATTTTTTCTGTTATATTTAATTCTGTATAATTGTAATTTTTTTTTGTAATTTTATTTATTTATTTCTTTATTGAAAATGTACTTAAGTTTTATTCTCCTCCTATGGGGTGGGTGGGGTTTGGGTTTACTGAGGGTTGTGACTGTTTATGTTTGTGTCCACCCTTAGTAGTTGTTAATAGAAAAAAGGAATGTATAGATTTATTAATATTGCTCTTTCATTGTATTTTGTATATTCCAATAAAATAAAATAAAAAAATTTGTTGCAAACCTGCATGAATTTCTTTCTTCTGTTGAATAATAATGTTGATGGAGACGGTGGTGACCAGCAACTGTTTGGTTACCCACATTATTAAAAATATCTTCTTTTGTGTACAAAAGCAAAAAGAAATTCATACAGGCTTGGAACAACTTGGGGGGTGAGTAAATGAGGACAATTTTCATTTTTGGCTGAACTATCGCTTTAAAATATAATTCTGTCTTGAAATCACTAAAGCATTCAAATAATATGATATATAACGTAATGATTTAAACACTAAACTTTACAATTGTCTGTGCATGTCCACAGTCAGTAATGTCTCGTTTGGAGTTCATGGCTGTGAGATGTCCAGCTGTACCTGTGCGTTTAATGCCGACAGAGGAAGCAGAGCTTGATGATCAGATGGACACGGTCAGTTACTGTAAACACACACCTCTCTAAACTGAACTTCATTTTATGTGCCTCTTCACCTTGTCTGTTTTTTTAGGAAGAGTTGTTTCGGACTCTGTCGTCCTGTAGAAATGTCGCACCAGGCTTTCATTGGCAAAAGAGTCAATGGTCCGGCAACTGTCCGGTGGCGCTCAAAGAGGGCAGGATCGTCAAGGGCAGACCAGAGTTTGCCGTTGGGTTAGTGAAAACTAATTTATTATAAATAAACTTTTTTATTCTGAGGGGCTGTTTATAAATTCAGTCTTTTCTCTCCCCCAGCTTCATAGATAAGTTCTACATCCTGTCATCTCAGGAAGCCCTGCAGAAGTTCATGGCGAACCCTCGACGCTACCTGCTGCCACACATACCCCACTTGCCTTGCAAGGTGTCTGTTATCGGCCCGCCATGCTCAGGAAAGAGCACAATGAGTGCACTGCTAGCTGAGTATTATGGGGCTGTAGTGGTAGATGTTGAAGCGCTGATGGAGCGTACACTTGGTACGTTCACAAAAGACATGTTGGACAAAGTGCGTAAAGATGCCACGCTCACAGGCTTAGAGAAGGTCAGGACCAAGATGCAGCTTGAGGCTACAAATGCATCAGGTTAGAAAACACCAGTTTGGTAAATATACAAAACAAGCTCCATGGCATGATAGAATAATTTCTTAATTTGTTTTTGAGTTGGAAAGACATTCTGGGACATCTTTAAGATGGTGTTTCTTCATTTTTGTAGGTAATGTAACAACTAATGAAGGAGAGTCTGGTGAAACTCACACAGGTGAGGTCAATCCACACACAACATGGACTTTACACCTCCTCAGTTTCATTGATAACAATGTATGTTCTGTGCTTTAACATATTGTTAATCACTTTATTTTTAGATACACACCCAGCCAGTGAAATAAGTGAAAAAGGTATGAAGTTAAATAGTAAAATAGTTAAATAGTGCGAAGTAGTTAAACAGGGTTAAAATACTATAAATTATAAATACTATTGAATGCACGTGCTACAATTATTTGTTATTGATAACTAAAACTATAAAAAGGTGTTTTCATTCTATGAAATAAAGCTATACAATAAAATATAAATATTAGATTAAAAACGTAAACTAGATTGAAACTCTAAATCTCTGAAGTACTAAAATTACTAAAACTAAAACTGAAATAAAAATAAAGCTAAATTGAAATATTCAAAACAACAAAACCAAAAATTAAAGGGGTCATATGATGTTGCTAAAAAGAACATTATTTTGTGTATTTGGTGTAATGAAATGTGTTTATGCGGTTTAAGGTTAAAAAAACACATTATTTTCCACATACTGTACATTATTGTTTCTCCTCTATGCCCCGCCTTTCTGAAACGCGTCAATTTTTACAAAGCTCATCGGTTTGAAAAGCGAGGTGTGCTCTGATTGGCCAGCTATCCAGTGCGTTCTGATTGGCCGAATACCTCAAGCGTGTGACGGAAATGTTACACCCCTTACCATACTGTGATGCAGTGTCCCGGCCGGAGCGACGAGACAAAAACATTAAAACCCATTACAAACGAGGCATTTGTTGCATCCAGTGGGGACATAATTATGGATTATAATGACTTATA